CTGAATAAGAGAGGTTATTCTGCCAGAGCGGCTAAAGCGGTCACGCTTGCACTACGTAACTCAACTCGTAACTTGTACTGATGACAAATGGCACAGTTTTGTCAATTACGCTGCTAAGAAAGGATTTACAGCCAGATATGCTACACATCCTCAAGTGGCAGATTTCTTATGTTATCTACGGCAAACTAAGAATCTAAAAGGCTCAACCTTGTCCACTTATCTTGCAGCCATAAGTTCTGTCATAACTATGCTAACGGGCCAAGTTAACAAAAACACCAGAGTTACTCGCTTTGTTACGAAGCTGCCCCGATTGGAGGATCAGAAACGGAAGTTTCACGCTCCAGCCTGGGATCTAAATATAGTGCTCCAACACCTCACTAGTGAGGCTTATGAACCATTGCTATCTACATCGTTTGAATCACTGACCCACAAAACCTTATTCCTGTTAGCACTAGCTACGGCCGCCAGGATGTCAGAGATTCACGCTTTGGATTACGAGAGAATACGCTTTGATGATATTCATAACATCGCTCATCTGGGACTTCGCTGGGATTTTATAGCGAAAAACCAACTGCCAGGTCAACCAGACAGATTATTCCACGTCCCAGCTCTCTCATCCATACTTGGACCGCATGATACGATGGATCTATCACTATGCCCAGTGAGGGCACTGAAAATATATCTCCAACGATCCAAACAGAGCAGAGGGAAATTCAAGAGATTATTTATCCCTATATCTACAGCTACGCAGACGGAAGTCTCACGTACTACGATCTCTATCTGGATCAGAACTGTCATACTACGTGCCTACAAGGCTGCAGGACTCGACCCTCCAAGAGCTTCTAATCCTCACGAAATTAGAGCGCTAGCCTCAACTCTCGCTCTACATGGGAATTGCTCGTTGAATACCATAATGGAGGGATGTTTCTGGAGATCCGATATGGTGTTTGCCAACCACTATCTGAGAGATATCACCACCGAGGACGCCTCAGGTATCCACCATTTCGGGTCCCATGGTCCTCGCCAACAGTTGACAGTTCCACGGAGAAGATAAGTCTATCTTACAGATTTTATACTTATCTGATAACAGTACTAATAGCTACATGCTATCTATATATTTTGCTTAAGTTTAATTTATTATCTTAAGCTCAGTACTATGGTTTTTATATCATACTATATATAAGCTTACAACTCCTAGGAGTTTTGCTACTATATATATATGTTCAGCTTAAGTTTCATCAATCCTTAAGCTCAGTCATATGGTCATATGCATAAATGTATTAGCTAACAAACTCTAAGGAGTTGGTTACTATTATACAGCTTAAGTTATAATTATATCTTAAGCACAATACTATACTATTATAGCTTAAATATATGCATATCTTAAGCTTAATACTTTGGTTAATTTATAAAAGTATCCACTATAAACTCACAGAAGTTTATATTATCACATTAATAGCTTCAGCTTACATTAATGTTGTATATACTTTTATCATATTCTATAAATTGTAATAACCTTTATATGGCAGCTGATAAGTTAAACAGCAGGAATTCATCAGTTCAGTGCCTTTATGAAGTTCCCATAGGGTTATTACAATCATCACAGTTCAAATCACTAATTATTAAAATCCAAAGTATATATATTCCCACCTCCTTTTCCGTCGGATTCTACAAGCAATAAGCATGAGTCAGGATAAGGAAAAATATGAAATTTTTAGAGTAAAATTAATATTTTATACTTATCCTGACTCATGAGGTAAGCCCTCCCGTCCTCCCCACTTAACACTTTGGATTTCTTCGGAAAAATAAAGTGTCGGGCTCAAAACAAAAGGAGAGAGTGAGGCACATGGGTTCAGGTGGCCTCGTTCTCCCAGCTGGGAAGGGAGGTAACTTCTTGGAAGGAAGGGAGGTAACTCGTGGTGAGTACTAATTAGTGATTTTTAATTGAAGGGAACTTCAATTGGGAGATACACGTGTTCCACTATGTTCGCAAGAAGAAGAAGACAAGCAATAAGCATGAGTCAGGATAAGTATAAAATATTAATTTTACTCTAAAAATTTCATTTTGACAGCTATTTGGGTGTCCCTTTTCTTTTGTATTCAATCTCTAATGTAACATGTAATAATTAGTTTCTAGTCTGTATAGGGGATGAGAAGTGGTGTCACAGATTTTCTGAGTGCTGCTTTAGCTGCAGCATCAACCATAATTTTGTACATACACTGCGGGTGGTCCGATTAATTGAAATTATCGAACATTGGTCGCAGTGACCAAACGACCAAGCAATTGATCACATTTTCTCGTAATCAAACACAAACGAATTGGACCCACTGTTTTAGTGTTTGAAACATGTGATGGTTGAACATATCGTAGAAGTTGTCAGGGCCTGAAAACGTGTTTAATTCTTAGAAAACTGGCTTCATTTACTGAAAAGTCATGACTGAATATTTCTTGAAGGCTCTGCGAGGTTTATGTTCATGTTACATTAGTCATCACATTAAAGTAGCAAGTTGCATCATTTTACATTGGATGTGAAATTTACAAATGCAATTTGCACAATATCTAAGTCAAGCAAAAACCAACAGAGAACCATGTTATACTTGAGAAATACAGCTCGCTCTACCACCATGTATACTGTAATAAAGCACACTTTCGCCCTGAACTATTATAACATTAAAGTACGAGGACGCTTGCACTATACATAGTGGTAGAGCGAACTGTATTTCTTTTCTAAGATGCCAAATTTAATACTTTCTAAGGATAATTACGATTAATCTATGACAGAAAACAAACAATGGTGTCGGTGACCTAAATTAAGAATCCTCGCACAGGGCTAACTGGCGCGCTGTTCTATTCATGTGTCTGCTCCCTTACGTTAAGACGAATGTTACCAGAAAAAACAAATGATAAACAGTTTGATGACGGTTTACGTTCAGATTAAATATCTTCTCTAAATTATTTTAATTACATCTGTGATTAGCGTAAACCATATGGGGCAATATGAACGTCACATTTCTTCTACCAACATAAGTTTTGATCAGTACATCCAGATGAAGCTGAGAAGTCAAGCGACATTCCACAATTGCATTGTGGGAATGTAGACATTGGGAACGTTACCGTGTCACTGAAACCTTGTGAGTCGAATTGAGATATTTTAACCGTCAGAAAACATAAACGTAAAGATTCCACCAGTTATGTTAGCTGCGTGAAGCAACTGCAAACCAAGAAACGGAATGCAAAGGAGTAGTTTACTGTAGGAGGCTGTACAAGGTGATGACAACTGACTTGCATCGTGATGTCGCTTACATTGTGACGTATTGCAAAAGAGTTTGATTACGAGGGGGCAGACTAGAATGGCGCAGTGACGCCAATACATTGTGACGTAATGCAAAAAGTGCACATTATCGTCTGATAAAGTACTGTTGGCGCCTTTGATCTTTCACAGAAGTATCTTAGAATTATCTGCAATAACAACCTCAACAGGAAAATCTTAAAAATGATGTTAACCAATTTTTTTCGATGATTGCTAGTTGGTAATAAACCAAACATCAATTGTGAGATTTCTACGAATTCCCAACACTAACATACACAGAGAAAATAGGGATGTGCCAAGGAGACTGGACAGTCCACGCTGGGGATGTGGTGTTGTCACAGAAGATTCCAAATGAAAGGAAGGAGAAATATATTACCTGCCTAAGTGTTGAAGGAGCAAATTGCATTTGGAAGACTGAAGTAAGGCCAGTTCAAAGAATTATTCAACACCATTAATCACACAGATTAGTCACACACGCTATGACTTAATGCTGCAGTGGAAACACATTGATCTTAATGTAGTTAAGAATGGTTATGTGTAGGATAAAGCAGGACTCCTCGGTTACGGTTGGGAAAGTAAGACCCGAGACCGGAGGGTGGGGAGAAGTAAGACCGAGAGCACGTAGCGCTCGAGGTCTTACTTCTCTCCACCCGATGGTTGAGGGCTTACTTTCCCAACCATAACCGAGAAGGAGTGCTTTATTATACATTATTATAATAAACTGTCAATGGTGGATAATTAGATGATCATGTAATGAAGCTACATAACAGTAACTGAAGCGCTAGTAAAATCAATTTAATGACAGTAGGCCTAACTCTATATAGATAATTGAAACCTGGTTTCTTGTCGGCCCGGTGGCATCCGCTTAATAACCTGAGAGATGCGGTTCGATTATCTGCTAGGGAAAACATTTGCACATTAAAGTTGATCTTTGACAATATTTTTCAATTGATTTCAAACACTCACATATCATCTGAATTTGAATGTTGATGTTAATATAGAGTTAGGAAAAAGTAAAACCTGGGAAGAGGTCTTACTTACAAAAAGTAAAACCGGGAAATAGGTCTTACTTACAAAAAGTAAAACCGGGAAATAGGTCTTACTTACAAAAAGTAAAACCTGGGAGCAAACAAAAACCTCAAATGCAGTTATTCCGGGAAAAGAAGCCATGTCTAATATATAGTGAGAAGCACCCTTCAGGTTTATATGAATGTCTAGTCACTGGGCTGCTTGTCAGAACAAGGCAGTTCTTGATGTGAATGATGGTTTTATTTTAATGTCAAGGATGTGAGGAAAGCTGAAAAGAGTAAACTTCCTTCAATTAAAGTTCATGCAGAATCTTATGTACATAATATAAGCGCATTTAAGTGGTTACAGCTGTCCTGCTACATGTTTTAAGTGGTCGATTTTCATTTGTAATTGAATGGTTGTTATATTCTGCTATAAAACAAATGTGTCTATAAAACAAATTAATCAGGTAAAATAGTAAATCCATAACTTATTTACTAAGACACTCCTTTTTTCTTTGTCCAAATTGATACTGCTGAACGACACCATGTCTGGATAGCTCATTTGTTCAAGATGCCATAATGTGCTTTGCAGAGTTATGTCCCCTAGGTATTTCCTGAAAGCATGGTTTTCTAGTTTCTTATTGGTTATGCCCTTACACTTTGATTCCTTTGTTTCTAGTACCATGTCAGTTCATCCAGGCACGGCATGTTCTGGCTATCTGGGCCTTCTTGGGATTCTTTGTTGTCTACTGTCTCCGTGTGAACCTCAGCGTGGCGCTGGTTGCTATGGTGAACAGTACTCATGCTCAAAGCGATGTCAACGACAGCTCAGAATGTGAGGCTCCTGGAGGGTTCAGCAACACCACTGTTCACTCTGTAAGTCAGTAACATGATTGCTCTGTAAGTATGTGACCACTCCCTTAAACATAAAGGCAAGAATTTATGGATGTCAACTTCTTTATTTGAGGAACACAACATTTTGGAGTATGCTCCTTCAGCTGATGAAATGTCGTGTTCCTCAAATAAAGAAGTTGACATCCATAAATTCTTGCCTTTATGTGTATCACTTCTCAGGGTTCGAAATACCCCATATATTAGTGTGCCATGGCACGGTAATTATTGAAATGGCACGGCTAAAAAATGTTCTCTGTGCCCTTTTGACACGCCTGATTTTTCAGAGACATACTGGGTAACTCACATTTAGTCATTTAATCCCCAAAACAATTTTTTTTTTCAAAATTAAATAATACCATACATATTTGAATGCTCATAAACCCATTTCTTTATTTTACAATAAATTTCAAATGATCATCATCATTGTCATTGTATTCTAAAAACATGTGGGCATACTCAATTTCTGAAAGGCACACCTAAAATATTTGTCTGGTGCCCGAAGGCACACTTAGAAAAAAAGTATTTCTATCCCTGACTTCTAAATGCTGTTCATAGACTCTACCTTAAACATGCTCAATTTCTCGTAAATCAGGTATACCGGCAGGTTTATTGTTCAATATTTTCTGGTATACTCTTTCAACTGAGTTTTGTTAAAGAATCTATGATGTCCATGATACTGAATAATAAGTAATAAGATTGTGTTTATGTACATGATATTGAGAATAAGAGGTGTGTGCTAGGTCATTTGGTCTACAGGATACCCATGAAGGCCCGGGTTAGAATGTGCTTTCAGTAACCCATGCTTGTCGTAAGAGGCAGCTAACGGGATCGGGTGGTCAGGCTCGCTGGCTTGGTTGACATATGTCATCGGTTCCAAATTGCGCAGATCGATGCTGATGCTGTTGATCACTGGATTGTCTGGTCCACACTCGATTATTTACAGACTGCCGCCATATAGCTGGAATGTTGCTTAGTGCGGCGTAAAACTAAACTCACTCACTCTTCAGGATCCCATGCTTGTCATAAGAGGTGACAAACAGGGTTAGGCTTAGACCTATATTAGATGCTGACCTGGTTGAACCATGTCATCATGTCGTGTTGTGTAGATTGATGCTCATGATGTCAATCACTTGACTGTCTGGTCCCTACTACCCATACAGTATTGTCACGTGCAGTGTGCAACCAAATAGTTATCCTTATATTATACAGGATGTCATGTTTGTCATCAGTGGTCATGTCATGACATTTAGGGACAATATTGTATGTCGTGTGAGTTAGTCTAATGGTTAAAGCATTACCTTGTCGGGCTGAAGTTCTAAGTTTGATTCATCACATGGGTACACTGCATGAAACCAATTTCCTGTGTTCCCGCCATGATATTGCTGAAATATTGCTAAAAACGGTGTAAAACTGAACTCACTCACACACTTATTTCATAGCATTGGCGGATCCAGGGGGGTGGGGGGAGGATTCAGGGGGTTCAAACCCCCCTTTTTGAAAATGACCACATTGAAGATTTTTTTTGCGTTGGCGGTTCAAACCCCCCTGAACCCTCCCTTTCAAAATTCCTAGATCTGCCCATGCATAGGCTTATCAGTGGATGTTTGTTCAGTGAACTTAGATAACAGAAAAAGCCTTGTTTAGATTGGATGCAGAGGCTTAATGTATTGCTGATATATTATAATGTATATTTTTGTTATCTTTGAAATAACGCTCAACTCATAGCCAAGGACTTTGCTCAGGATCTCTCCTGTGGATAACCATTGACAGCTATCTTGCATATCTTGTTTGGACATTTAATTATATATAATCTCCTGAATGGTGAATTTTTTCCTGACTTTGAATTCTTCTCTTTTGTATGCATAAATGAAATGTATTACAATACAAAGACATCAGGCATTCATGAGACATTGTCTGTTTCAGACAGGAGAGTTTAACTGGGATGAGCAGACTCAGGGACTGATCCTGGGCTCATTCTTTTATGGATACATTACAACACAGGTGAGAAATATGTGTGTATACATCCCTACACAGGTGAGAAATATGTGTGTATACATCACTGCATAGGTGAGAAATATGTGCGAGTATACATCCCTACACAGGTGAGAAATATGTGTGTATACATCACCACACAGGTGAGAAATATGTGCCTATACATCCCCATATAGGTGAGAAATATGTGTGTATACATCACCACACAGGTGAGAAATATGTGTGTATACATCACTGCATAGGTGAGAAATATGTGTGTATACATCACTGCATAGGTGAGAAATATGTGCGTATACATCCCTACACAGGTGAGAAATATGTGTGTATACATCACCACACAGGTGAGAAATATGTGCCTATACATCCCCATATAGGTGAGAAATATGTGTGTATACATCACCACACAGGTGAGAAATAAGTGTGTACACATCACCACACAGGTGAGAAATATGTGTGTATACATCCCCATATAGGTGAGAAATTAGTCTGTCTCACAGTCCCTGAACCACATTAATTTCCCTACTGCCAAGCCTTCTCTGCAGTGCTAAAGCCCTAAATAAAGCAAGTATAGATTTCCTCAGGTTGTGTATACATCACCACACAGGTGAGAAATATGTGTGTACACATCCCTACACAGGTGAGAAAATCTCCCTAGGGCTCCTTTTCAATATAAATGGGCTTGTTTGTAACTATCAAAATTATAAATATTCAGAGACTAAGCCTTAGTCTAGTGAGAAATATGTGTGTATACATCACCACACAGATGAGAAATATGTGTGTATACATCCCTACACAGGTGAGAAATATGTGTGTACACATCCCTACTCAGGTGAGAAATATGTGTGTATACATCCCTACACAGGTGAGAAATAAGTGTGTATACATCACCACACAGCTGAGAAATATGTGTGTACACATCCCTACACAGGTGAGAAATAAGTGTGTATACATCACCACACAGGTGAGAAATATGTGTGTATACATCCCCATATAGGTGAGAAATGTGTGTATACATCCCTACACAGGTGAGAAATATGTTTTTATACATCACCACATGGATGGGAAATGTGTGTATACATCACCACACAGGTAAGAAATATGTGTGTATACATCACCACACAGGTGAGAAATATGTGTGTATACATCACCACAGAGGTGAGAAATATGTGTGTATACATCACCACACAGATGAGAAATATGTGTGTATACATCCCTACACAGGTAAGAAATATGTGTGTATACATCACCACACAGGTGAGAAATATGTGTGTATACATCACCACACAGGTTAGAAATATGTGTGTATACATCACCACACAGGTGAGAAATATGTGTGTATTCATCACCACAAAGGTGAGAAATATGTGTGTATACATCACCACACAGGTGAGAAATATGTGTGTATACATCACCACAAAGATGAGAAATATGTGTTAGTACATTCAGAGACAGGTGCAAATAATGTATTTATATAATCCAACACAGTTGAGGAATCTGTTTCCAGCCTGGTCCAGGCTTGCTTATCAACATGAACACACAGCTGGGATAGTGCACACTGTAGCAACACTGTAGATCCTTTGTTTCCACTGACTGATCTTGTGTCACATTGCTGAAACATGGCCTCAGGTCATCACTCAGCCAGATTTGGTTTTCTTCTAATGTTTAAGAAATCTCATTTGTAGTTTTGATCAACCATGTTGCATGAAATAATTCTGAAAACTGTCCATCCATAAATGTGACAAAGTCTTTATGGTTTGATGCAGGTGCCAGGCGGTTATCTGGCAGTGAGGTTTGGTGCCAAGAGGCTGTATGGCTTTGGAATCCTGTGCACTGCTGTGCTTACTCTTCTGACACCCCTGGCAGCAAGAGTTGGGGGGCTGCCTGTCTTTATAGCTGTCCGAGTCCTTGAGGGGATAGGGGAGGTGAGTTCATGACAAGGGGATAGGGGAGGTGAGTTCATGACAAGGGGATAGGGGAGGTTAGTTCATGACAAGGGGATGGGAGAGGTGAGTTCATGACAAGGGGGTGGGAGAGGTGAGTTCATGACAAGGGGATGGGGGAGGTGAGTTCATGACAAGGGGATGGAGGAGGTGAGTTCATGACAAGGGGTTGGGAGAGGTGAGTTCATGACAAGGGGATGGAGGAGGTGAGTTCATGACAAGGGGATAGGGGAGGTGAGTTCATGACAAGGAGATAGGGGAGGTGAGTTCATGACAAGGGGATAGGAGAGGTGAGTTCATGACAAGGGGGTGGGAGAGGTGAGTTCATGACAAGGGGATGGGGGAGGTGAGTTCATGACAAGGGGATGGAGGAGGTGAGTTCATGACAAGGGGTTGGGAGAGGTGAGTTCATGACAAGGGGATGAGAGAGAAGCATTCATGACGAGATAAAGGAGAAATGCTATATAAGTGCAGTACTGCAGAAGGTGATGTCGTCCCTATTCGCCCACCTCTGTCCTCACTGTTCTGTTGCAGGGCGTGACCTTCCCATCCATGCATGCCATGTGGGGCAACTGGGCACCCATCCTGGAGAGAAGCAAGCTTGCAGGATTTTCCTATGCCGGTATTAAAACCTTTTAGTCGGACGCATTTTCGACAGATGAGTATTATCAACAATATTCCAGCTACTAGTATATGGTAGCGAACTGTAAATAATTGAGTGTGAACCAGACAATCCAGTGTTCAACAGCATAAGCATCGATCTGCGCAATTGGAAACCAATGACATGTGTCAACCAAGCCAGCGAGCCTGACCACCTGATCCCATTTGTCACCTCTTACGCTCTTAGGCCAAAATTATGGCTACATTTGTTTTGAGAAGATAAAAGCTAATGATTGTTTAACACAATCAAACTACCGCAAAAAAATCAATATATTTAAATCATTCTACTCCATGTAAGGAAACAGATATGTAAGTACATTCCTACATTCCATTGCTGCCTCTGGTGTCATCCCAGGTTTGTCTGCCAAGAGGACATTATTTGTTGATAGCTGGATGTAACTGTCATTGTGATGACTGGCATAAAACCACATTCATTCATGTGTGTTTGTTTGACAGGGGCTCAGTTGGGAGTTGTGTTTTCCATGCCGGTCTCTGGCTTACTGTGTGCGTCATCGTTTCTTGGAGGCTGGCCGTCCGTCTTTTATGTATTTGGTATGTGGATTATTTGTTGAACAACAGAGTTTATCCTGGATCTTGTGTGGGGGTGGCACATGGTCCTGGAGAAAGAGGACAGACTACAAGTCTGGAGGCTTTTATTGTTGATGTTATTGTTGTTGTTATTCAAGGTGATCTGAAGTATTGCTGTGAAAGACTGCAGCTTGGCATAAAGTCATTGTTGATTGACTTAATTAACTGGTGTATTGTATATATTACGGGTCCGTACATAATATATGGCTTGGGGTGTGATGATAATTTTTATGGAAAAGCATTTTACAATGTGTTTGACCCCCCTGAAATTTATGTACAAAGTGCAAGCCGAACCCCCCCCCCCTGCATGTCATGTACATAACCAATGACCATCCCCTAGTACATGTGCACAAAATTGATGCCCCCCACCACCACCACACACACACACATACCTCCCCAGAACACAATGGGTGACCCCTCCCCTTAAAAACAACATCACCATCCCCACCCAACCATTCCAGCATGTTATTGAAAGTGTGTGTATCTCTGTGTCTGTATGTGTCTGTGTGTCTCTATTTTTGTATGTCTCTCTGTGTGTATGTGTTGTTTGTTTCTATATGTTTTCTGTATACACCTGTGTCACAACGTGTGTGATAGTCTACTATACCCAGATAGCATTCGGACGTTGGCCCAACGTTGGCAATGTTGGCAAAACCATTGCCAACGTTGGGCCAACATCTGAATGCTATCTGGGATGTGTCTGTTTGTCCATATGTGTCTCCAACTGCCTCCATGGAGAGCGGGAGGTCGTGGGTTCAATCTCCGGCCACATCAAACTAAAAGATGGTAAATATATGGTACTTGTTGTTCCCTGCCTGGTGTTCAGCATTAATGGGTAAAACAAGGACTGGTCAGCTCGGAGTCATTATACCGGTAATGTGTATGAGTGGGGTATTCATGCTTCACTGCGGCATGGTATCTCAGTGGGCTAGCATTATAAAACCAGCTTTAGTCTGGGCTAGTACAAGCAGCCGCACATACACATACACACACATGCATGTCGTCATATGAGCGAAATATTCTTAAGTACGACATTAAACCCCATTTCACCTCACCATATGTGTCACCATCTGTATCTATGTCTGTGTATCACTGTCCATGTTTATCTATGTTTCTCTCTATGTGTGTCCATGTGTCTCTCCAGGTGTCATTTTGTCTGACTTGGTGTTTCTGTGTCTGGGTCTCTGTTTCTGTGTGTGACTGTCTCTGTTTTCTCTGTCTGGGTCTCTGTGTGTGACTGTCTCTGTTTTCTCTGTCTGGGTCTCGGTTTCTGTGTGTGACTGTCTCTGTTTGTCTCTGTGTCTGGGTCTCTGTTTCTGTGTGTGACTGTCTCTGTGTCTGGGTCTCTGTGTGTGACTGTCTCTGTGTCTGGGTCTGTTTCTGTGTGTGACTGTCTGTTGTCTCTGTGTCTCTGTCTGTGTGACTGTCTCTCTGTTTGTGACTGTTTCTGTGTGTGACTGTCTGTGTCTCTGTGTGTGACTGTCTCTGTGTTTGGGTCTCTGTTTCTGTGTGTGACTGTCTGTTGTCTCTGTGTGTGACTGTCTCTGTGTTTGGGTCTCTGTTTCTGTGTGTGACTGTCTCTGTTGTCCCAAGTGTCTGGGTCTCTGTGTGTGACTGTCTCTGTTTGTCTCTATATGTGTGTGTGTTTATTGTCCCCCGGCGGAACGGGGACCATGTATTCAGCAGCATCCGTCCGTACGTCCCAATTCTTGTTAACGCAATATCTCATGAACTGTTGTACCCAATTACTTCAAATTTGGTGACAGCCTACATTGGGGAATTACCCAGACACCAGTCGATTTAGGTGACCTTGACCTTATTTTCAAGGTCACCACTACACTTTGACCACTTTTCAAACTCTTGTTAACGCAATATCTCATGAAGAGTTTTACCCAATGTCTTCAAAGTTGGTGACAGCCTACACTGGGGGATTACGCAGACACCAGTTGATTTGGGTGACCTTGACCTTATCTTCAAGGTCACCACGACACTTTGACCGTTTTAAAAATTTATTTAAATGCGATATCTCATAAAACATTGCACCATTTCAGGCATCTTGTATGTGACCAAAAAATAAAAAGTAGTAAATATAGATATTCCATTCTTTAGTGGCGGGGTACATTGCCATATCAGTGGCAAACACTTGTATGTAACTGTATGTGTTATGGTTGTACTTCAGGGGCTATGGGCTGTCTGTGGTTCATGATATGGATGTTGTTGGTTCATGAAACTCCTGCTGACCATCCTCGAATAACCAGGGAGGAGAGAGACTACATAGAAAGCTCTGTTGGCAAGAAGCGGGTAAGTAACAAATATTGCCAAACACTGTCAGTCCAGATATAGAGGATATTATATGAGTGCCCATGTCATACTATGTTTACGACAACAGTACCTAAATATTGGTATTTCCCGTGCGAGAGCGAGGGATATACCGATATTTAGGCATGAGTGTCGTAAACATAGTATGATATGGGCACGAATATAATATTCTGTTTATTACCGAAGTCGTCAAATTGAGGAAAATAAACCCAAATCTACTTTCAAACGCAGGCTGGCGACCCGCCATCGCCGCATGTAGAACCCATGTAGAAGCCTTGTTCATGACGTCACGTCACCATGATAAAGTGATATTTTGCCCTTGGGCATAGTATGAAAAATATGAACCCCGATATGTTCGCCCTCGTAGGTAATAAAATATATACTTGTGAAAAAAAGTATTTAGGCTTCATATAATGTAAATGTAACTATTATGTTATTGAAACTAACAATGTAAACTATGGTCATTCATGTCTTCAGTAGTTTGTCGTAACAAACACACTGACAAAACTTGTATCTGGTATCATGAGACAGAGCAACATGCTTGAAACAGGAAGGTGGTGTAATACCGGTAACTCAGCTTGATACAAGGAAGGCAGCGGTGGGGCACGTTAGACACCAGATGATGGAGATCTGCCAAACAATCAAATGTTTGCCATATAGTTCTGCCCCTTATTGGTCTCATGCCATAAATAGTTAAATGTTAATGTGTCAGTTTGGTTCAGGTGCATCAACCGAATATGGTTGCCTTGTTGTCATGAGATTACATGTAGACGACAAGCCCATGGCAAGTCAAGGGTGTTGCACTGCTGTTGATAACATCACCATGGAACTGATATTGTGTTCCGGTGCTGTGAGGAAAGCTATGCAAATGAAATATAAAAAATGAACAGAGTTAAGAGTATGTTTTCATACACAGAGCTTTCACCATCTGAACCCCTGAAGTAAAATTGAAAGGGTTCTTAGAACCATCATTACGTTTTGTGACTTTGTAAGAATTCAACTTTGACAGAGCTGGCAACTGTGTGAGGAATCTGTTCATGTACTCTGTAGCATCTGAAGACACCCTGGAAGAAGATCTTCACCTCTGGGGCATTGTGGGGGATTGTTGGAGGTCATTTTGCGACCAATTGGGGCCAATATACATTCCTCACCTGCCTTCCAACGTTCATGAAGAGAATCCTCAAGTTTGATATCCAGTCTGTAAGTCAGAATGTGGAGAATGAATGAAAGGCTGCTAGTGCTGTGATATCAGGGAGTCCACATTTATGTATGTTTTCAAATACATTACCACAGGCAATATAAGAATCAGCATTTACAACAGAGAACTATAGATTGTCTGTCATGAGTGAATTAACTTTGTAACCTTGGTGACAAAAACAGGAAAAATTATGTGTATTCCCAAATCTCATATCGACATATCACTTTATCAGCCCAGGTATTTTTTTTATTTACATTTTATATCACTGATTGTGATGCCAAAGATATGACAACAATGTCTTCTTTAGAAAAGAGTCAACATACATGCTCATCCATGGAGTAGCAGTGGCTGAATTGGCTGTTGCATTCATAGGTAGTGATTGTGATTTGATACCTGACTGACCAATCAGAATCTAGTAGTTCTACATTCAAGTTGTTTCCTTCTATCAGGATGGGTTTCTGTCAGCTGTGCCGTACGTAGCTCTGTGGTCAGTTCAAGTTGGGATCGGGTTTGCCGCTGATTACCTCCGATCCCATGGTTATCTGTCAACCCTAAACACACGCAGACTCCTGAACTCATTGGGTAATACTTCTTACATCCTTCTGTGGAGGGATGGGAATGTTTTGGGCACACCCAACTTTTGTCAAAACATCTGGCATGTCCAGAGTATGATTGTGGTGGTAAAGCAAAAGGACAAGTATTATTTTGTCATAGCCCTCATATTTGTGTTATTACATTTCAAGGATTTAAACTGAACTTTAGGTATAGGATTTCTGATTTGTGAAAGCTTCTGGGTAATTTTAGGTGATCTAATGTAAGCACCTTTTATACTTACAGTAGGTGAATACATTGTTTTGTAGGAATTCCGTTTGGAAAACCTTTTGTGATACATTGGATGATGATTTGACCACAGTGACTGTTCCTTCATGACCTGTTTGACTTCCAGGACTGCTGCTCCCTGCCGGCTTGGTGATTGGTGTCAGCTACGTGGGCTGTAACCATGTGTGGGCAGTCACACTGTTGACCTTGGCCTTGGGAACCAGTGGGATCACAATGGGAGGATATATGATCAACCATCTTGACATTGCTCCCAAGTTCTCAGGTATCTTGACACCTTCATCATCATCATCATCATCATCATCATTCATCCGTCCGTCCGTCCATCCATCCATCCATCCATCCATCCATCCATCCATCCATCCATCCATCCATCGAGCACATTTATTGCAGCCTTTTCAGATGTACTATTTAGAATATGGTAATTCAGAAATCCTTTCATGATGAAAATTTTGTTTGTTGTGTGATGTTGCACTCAGTAATGTTCCAACTGTACGACAGCATCCAGAGTCTGGACCAGATAGTCCAGTGATCAGTAATGTGAGCAATGATCCACACTGTTCAATACAGTGACACACAGTCAACCAAGTCAAGAAGTTGGATCACATAAACCATTCTGTCACGACAAAACCCAGATTTACCCCTTTATGATCCTGCAACACTATGCTACCATTTTAAGCTGTGTTTCTAGGTTAGGATCAGTCACCATCATGTTGCACTGGAAGATATGACTGAATGGATCACATTAGTCAAATGATTTTTTTGATACGTGAACTTCGTCGCATGGATCATTGATCATAATATCAATAGCTGGATCATCTGGTTGATTTTTACAGGCTATGCTTGTACTGCTAGCTTGTACAGCTATGTGTGGTGTTAAGAACCAAACTAGAAAATATCTTGTCTGATCACTGATGAAGACTGGCCATGTGACACCTCAGGTTGAACTGGGACTCTCAGGATTTGCTGTTTTGTTTGAAACCCAGATTTACCCCTTTATGATCCTGGGTTTGTCAACACTACACCGGTTGTCATGAATGTAGCTACCATTTTAAGAAAAAAGAAGAGGAAATATAGGGATTTGGGCGGGCTGAAAAGGTTGGACAAGCCCTCAATACTATCTAAATATAAGCTTTGCAAACATGTCGGGCTTACACAAAAAAAAATGGCTTGCTACACGCTTGGTTGTGGATAGTGTAGAGGGAGATGCCTACATTGTTAATGAACAATATGATATGTTGTTGGAGAACGGTGTTAGGATCTACACCGAAATGTAGCATCTATTGCAATAAAGAAGTTGTCCATCCAAAAAAAAAGTGTTCCTCTTCATCATACCAGCTTCTTCATCATACCAGCTTCTAAATGCCACTTAAAGAAGTTGTACATATTCTCAGTCATAATATCGTGAACTTAGTAAAGTATTAAGTGAATGCTTTGACACTGTATAAATCTTGGATAAATGTAGTAACCAATGTTGCTATGGTTACAGGAGTCCTGCTGGGCATAACCAATGCGATTGCTACGATTCCAGGCTTCCTGGGCCCTCAGTTAGTTGGCATCATCACCAACGATAATGTAAGTTGCCCTGCAATGTGTCTGGTATAATCTGCCCGGGACTGGGAATAACCTGTAAATTTTGTAATTTCCCAGGGAGGACATAATGCTTTCCAACAGGTTGTTTTGTCATATGATGAGGTCACAGCAGAGAAATCCCATGGCTTATTCAACCCACTTCAAAACAACATAGCCAAAACAGTATTGCAGCACATACAATGCCGACAGTAATTCCGCGCACCTAAGCAAATCGATCGCAACACGACAACTTATGTCTCTTATTTTTTGTGGTTTACGTGACTAAATATGCTGGTATGCATCATACCATGCTGGTATGCATCATATTTACCTAGAAATATAAGTTTTATTGACAACTATGAGATTCTAACGTTGCATTATGCCATACGGTTGACCTTACCGGCGTTCTGACGACATCACTTGCTGTCCGGTAATTCTGACCAGCAACTGATGCACATAACATCCAGCTGGAGATCCGAAGTATGGAAGCGTATTAGGGCCAGATTATTTTCAAAAATCACTTCATCAATGTAAGGAAGAGTGGTTCATATTAAATCCAATTATGAATAATGAAGAAAAAGGTTTAAAAGTCCGATGAAAACGAATTTTCATAAAACTGTCAATTTATCTGTCAGTTACTGTTATTTACTTACCTTTAGTGATTAAAAGCCAGTCCCTTGTAGAAATGTCCCGATTTCAAGCGTAAATGTGGTAGCAGACGATGTTTACCTTGATACGGAAGTACTCTATTGCAGCTGCGCAGAATTACCGGATACGCGGAATTACTGGACTCGCTTGTAATAAGAAACTAAATCCTCTAGGGCCCGTTCCACAAAGCATTCGTAGCGCTACGACTGTCGTAAGTCTATGTTAAAAAATGGGAGTTCAATCACCTTAGCGCTACGATCGCTTTGTGGAACGGGCCCCTAATCTTTACATGATATCTCCACCGAACTTCCTTGCCAATATGTCCACTGAATGTCAGCCGTTAGTCAGCTATGGGGCTGTACATAAAGGTCATATCACTTTCATGCTGAGACCATTGTACCATTTCAAGTCTAAAAGTTAGTTTTCTGCTGTCAAAATCTTGAAAACCTCAAACATGAATCTCAGTTATTCACCATACTTCACTGGTGTTGATACAGAAGGCTTCTATCAGTTCAATACGATTCACATTGTTAGTGACCTGTCAAAATGGACATTGAAAGGCCTTTTTGTTAATTGTTTAACAGTGATAGTGAGGTTTAGTTTCATTGATACAGTAGCAGTCAGTAGGACTTGCTTGTCATTGTTCACCCTGAAGTGTGTTGTTGTTGTTTGGTCAAACTGGAGCATACACTCTTCTCTATCTTGTTTATTTGCAATTACATTATTTAGAAGACTATTTCTCATAAAAAATATTCAAAACATGTTGGGAATCAAACCTGGGTCTTTGGCATGACAAGCAAACGCTTTAACCACTAGGCTACCCCACTGCCCATAAACATATGTGAGAAGGTATGAGTGCAAGAGAGAGGACATTTTGCACCATGACTGATACTTGTAATGTCTTAGAGGCGTTCCTTACATTCACTGTGAAAATATCACATTTTTCACATTGGTCAATGACAGATACATCATGTTTCACAAGACACTTGAAATTTTTAAGTTTGGTGTTCGGAATAAAATAATGGAGATGACACGTATTTATTTTATCAATTGCTATCTTTGTATTGTCATTGTATGAAGAATATCAGTACTAATGATATACCTTAAAATGATATCCATTTTTGTCACTGCAGTATATATTAAACTATATGACATATTAGTATTTTATTTGAGGTTTTGGAACAAAGCTATTAAATACCTTTGATACATTGTGTGCGTGCCCACAGGAGACGATAGCTGGATGGAGGATTGTCTTCATCATTACGGCAGTAGTCTATTTGTTCGGGACAATCATCTTCATCATCTTTGCTCGTGGAGAAGAACAGCCCTGGGCTAAAGTGAAATCTGAGGAAGAGGAAGAGGAAGATGTTGTGGAGAAATCCAAGTCCTCCGTACAAGCAACTGTACAGAATGCTCCTTATGATCAGGAAATTCTTATACCACCTCCTACTGATAGCTCTTCATGATACTGTGGAAGTGTGTAAGCTGTATTGTTCAATATGTACTATTCATTCACTGTACTTTCCGTGTTGGTTCCTGGTTAGAACTGGTCCCAGTTACCTGTACTTGTAGAAAGAGATGGCCAAGTGGATCGGGTCGTCGACTCAGTGGTTTGCATCATACCTCTTGTGTAGATCAAGGCTCACAATATCAAACCTGTTTTGTGTAGTCCAGAATGGATTATTAACAAGCTGCTATGTTGCCAAACAGGACATTAAAGGAAAAAACATACAGTATTCTTGGATATGTCATAGAAACAGTTCTATATTTATGTGGTAGTGGCACTTCCAGGTCAATCAAATCACCGAGTCTGACCACCTGACCCAAGCAGTGCTTGGTACCTGTTCTAACCTGGTTCTCGGTGGTGTTTGTATTCATGTATATGGGAGTCACACACATATCACTGTGTGTTTGTGCATGTTGTTGATTTTACAGCATGGTATAGTGGCTGTATTGAGGTTGCTTGTTGTACTGGGTACAGAACACTGATCAGATGAAGATGAGCAGTGTTGTTGGTCTGAGAGAGAGTGTAGGGTGACTTCATCCTGCAGCTTAACTCCTGAGAGTTTCTAGGGCTTGGTACCTGGTAGGATGGACTGTTGATCTTCTAGGCCTCAAAGGCAGCTTAATTGGTGTAGTCCCCACAAAATAAAAATGAACAATAAACCACACTGTTTTACTGACCAGAGTAATATTGTAGTCAGGGGTATTCCTTGACCTACAAAACTAGGGTTCAGATGGCCTACAGTTAATAATTTCAAGATATATGCGAGGCCTAAAAGTAATGACATGGTATTGTGTACTGAACCAAAAATTTAGTAACTATTATAATTACAGGGAGATTGTGTTTCATGTCAAGAATTAAGTACTAAGAATATTATTGTTGCAGTATATTTTTTCCGGTGTTTAATGTGTTTGTTTGTACATACTGGGGGCACATTTCTGGTAGAACTTTCTCTGAGTCAATTCGGAACATTATAGAAATGCTGATTATATTCTGGTATGAGCTTACGTTCCAGTTGGTGGAGTAATTAAGAAAACCTTTTGACCAGAACATTGAGCATAACCTTTGATAAACTGCATTGATGTGTTTACTGGTCTGATAGTTCTGTGATTAGATATTCAAAATATCAGATTTGAGAACCACATTCCATACCAATTTCCTTGACATTGCTTTGCAAAGTGATTCATATTTCTGGGGAAGTAACAACAATTGCTGTCAGCCGAACAGATCTTCACCAGATTATTTAGTGTGTGCATTCTAACCCTTGGAATCATGAAGGTGACAGAACACATATACTGACACAAGTCTGTCGGTGTTGGAAGGCCTGTGACGAAAATAGGTGAAACTTCATGAAGAATTCTTCCCCAAGGTATGGAGTTTAGTACAGTGCACATATTAATGTGGATTATATTAATCCTTCATGTTCACATCTACAGGAAGAACCTGCTGGTTACTGAACCAGTCAGGTTGATAAAAATATTTATGTATTTATATAAATATTTATCAGTATGTCAGACAGTTGCTCAATAGTCAAACCTGGTGAAATGTCATGATCTGATACATGATTGTTTGGGTTACTGCTTGACATGGCACTCAGCAAGTTTCCGGCTATATGATAACAGTCTGTAAATAATCGAGTCTGGACCAGACAATCCAGTGATTGACATCATGAGCATTGATCAATGTAATTATTTGACAAAGGATTGTGTTGTTTCATTATTGTAAATTGCCATTAATTCCTGAGCATTTGATTTGCTATGCAATCAATCTTGCACTTTGTGTTTACATTAATCAAAACAATATCAAGCCATGCCCACAAAGGGACTATTTTCTCTTGATTTGCATATAATAAAGTGGGTGTGGTTTAGGTTGTGGTAGTGCCATGAATGATGTCAATCATTTTGTGCTCTCTATGTGGGTAGTTGTTATTGTTGACACGCTGTTGCACTTATTTATACAGTTTGCACACCATTGTTGTCATTTATACCTACCGGTACATAAATGCAAATATAACTATATTTTAAATTTTGTAAGATGTACAGGTCTGTTTGCCAATACTCTCTTGCCAATATGCTAATACATTTATTTATGTGTTTATTTAAGTGGATATTCTCCTTAATGTGCAATACAATTGTGCCAACTACTAGTTATGGAAATACTAAACAATACTCAGTTTACTTTTTAAGTTGTTTTTCTACAATTTATTATAGATTCATCTTTAGTTCAGGAATGCTGCCTTGTTGATTTAAGTTTTAGTGTTTATTTACAGCTGAAACAGTAAGTAAAACAGAATTTTAATTTACAGTAAGTAAATTAACTTTATCTCAAATTGAAATAGGTTTATTGATTGATAAACGTACTGCAAAGGATTCACAATGGCAGTACAATTATAATGGCAGGAGTCTGACTGATCTGGAAGATGTTAAACTGAACTCAGTTCAACTATAGTGAGGTGAGGTGAAATTGGGTTTAACATCCTACTTGAGAATATTTCGCTCATATGACGACGTGCATGCGTGTGTGTGTGTATGTGCGGCTGCTTGTACTAGCCAAGACTTAAGCTGGTTTTATAGTGCTAGCCCACTGAGATACCATGCCGCAGTGAAGCATGAATACCCTACTCAGACACAGTATACTGACTCCGAGCCGACCAGTCCTTCTTGGACCCATTAATGCAGAGCGCCAGGCAGGGACCAACAAGTACCATATTTTAACGTCTTTTGGTATGATGCGGTTGGGGATCGAACCCTCGACCTTCCGCTCTCCGGGCGGACGCTCTAACGTCTACACCACGGAGGCGGTCTTTTAACTATAGTAATATCAGATACAGTGTAATACAATTAACACATTGTATTAAAATGAATTTTCAGCTGAAGTAAGGAAGTCAAAGATAACGTTTACCAATTTCATGAAAGCCACAAGCAGGGCACTGTTTTTACAAACCTAAGATGATTATGTCTGGCATTGTGCCATTGTAATCTTGTTTATCAGCAATCGGTAATAAACACAGCATTTCACCTGTATACATGAATTTTTTGTTGGTGTTTCTTGTTGTTAACTCTACAGGTAGCAATATGGCAGCTGTCGTGAACAATAGAGTCCAGACAATTCAGTGATTGATAATCTTTTTTAACAAGTTATCACACAATACCTTGTCACTGTGACCCACCACCCATGAGGTTGCCTCCAACAACAGTCATACCTGTTGGTTGCTGGGAATCTATTCTAACAAGGAATCCCTCTAAATGTGACACGGTATAGATAACAACCATGATGGGCCAACAATTTGGTTCGGTGAGTGAGTGAGTTCAGTTTTACGCCAATATTCCTGCAATATCATGCAGGGGACACCAGAAATGGGCTTCACACATTGTATCCATGTAGGGAATCGAACCAGGGTCTTCAGTGTGATGAGCGAATGCTTTAACCACTAGGCTACCCTACTGCCCTAATTTGGTTCAGAGTGGAGTGTTAGTCGCGAATGAAAGGACGAAAGACTATTAACTTTCCCCAATCTCTTTCATGAGCTCGTCACTATGAGCTAAACATCTACTGTTTGATATGAATTTCTTTAACCTTTGGAAATTATTTGTTGACTTGCTTGTTACACTCTATGAAAGTTTTAGAACCATATTAATTGTAGATAATAGTACTTGTCACTGACATCAATAATCAGAAAGGTTATAAATGTGCCGCTTTGTATATTTTAGTGAATCAGTATATTTTATGTGACTCAATATTCATACCACACACATTTGGCTTGGGACTTGAAAATACATGCACCGATTAAATACAGAAAGAAATATATATATTTCAGAGTTGTCAAAGATTATGTTCCATCTATAATAACTATCTATATTGTTGTTTTTGATACACAGATTGGTTAAAATGTGACCTCATTCAGAGCTTCTGCTGCTTAGACATTGTTTTTGTGTGAACACACAATACTAGTAATTGATAAATGCTATGATAAATTGTATGTATGTCTGTGTGAAAATATGTGTAACTAAGTTTCTTCAAAGCAAATTGTTTCACTCAAACACATCCCAAATCACAATGGCCATCCCTTCGACAATGGGTCACGCTGCACTGGAGTCGTGTTAGCATCGCTGTCTCTCATGCCGACTTCTAGTCAAAGACACAAGTCTCTACAGAAGAGGTTATTACCCTCCAGTAGGTACTCATTCTTTGAACATGAAACACAGAAACTATAACAAGAAATGAATATTTAAAATATTTATTTCTGTATGTACAAGATTCTCCATGAGGGTTTTCCTTATCTTCATCTACGCTGATGGACAGCCCAAATGCTGACTGAAATGTATTTGTGGGAAGTGAAGACAGACTTAAAAAACATCCTTCCGTAATGGCAGAATGCCAAAGTAGAGGCCACAATCCTGGTCTTGTGTGGAATGGACTGACTGACTGACTGAGGTTTAGCTTTTCGCCCTTTCCAGCAATAGCAATATTCCAGCAATATCACTCATTGTGAAGTGGGCTTAACAGACTGTGGAATGGAAGCCTCTAGAGGTGGTAACCCGGCAAAGGTGTCAGCTTGAAGGATCTTTGAATGTTACAAAAGAGATGTTGTAGTATTCCATGCTGTGTACAGTGGAATGTATATAATAAAGGCATAAAGACGCCATTGCCGTCAGGTAAATATGGAGAGCTCGAACAGAGCATAAAATGACATCTTTGTGATCTTCAAAATGCAAATCAAGGCCAGAGTTGGAATGGTGATTAAAGAGTCTGGTTGCCACGAGAGCTGGTTCTTCCCAGTTAGGTCATAGTGTAGTCGAAGAAAGACCTTCCTCTGATGTTGTCTATCAAAACAAACCTTGTTGACATCGAGTGAGTGACGCTAGCTAGCAAATGCTGAAGCCATTGCTTAAGCCAATAAAAACAGTAACACATTAACAAAAAGAGTAGGATGACACTGAGATTCCATGTTTTAATCATGACGGTCTGCCAGTTTGTAGCAACAAATATGTGCCTGCAGTCCTGTTATTGTGGAGATTTGTGAAACCATAGTGGTATCAGTTACTGGACTGAGCACATTCAGGAAATGTAGCCTTTAGGCATCATGTAGAAGGTATGTGCTGAACTGAGGTGTGAATTGGGTTTGGATAAAGTTGTAATTCCATCAAAATGTTGTAAATGTAGTTGTCACTTTCTCAGTATAGTTGATTAATTTGATATCTGGTTTTACATTGTGAATCCCTGGGATGTGCCAGAATGGAACCTGAATGTGGAGGGAGATAATTGTTGCCAGAGTTGACTTGGAAGACTTGTTGATGACCAAACCACTGATATGTTGTATGACTGGGTCATGAGGTGTGATGCCTGTAGAACTACCGCCCAATGACTTAACACCAGGATCTCTGCCTTGAATTCTAGGTTGTTGATGTGAAGCTTCTTATTTTCATTGATGGACCAACGCCGGCAACCTGGTGATCGTGAAAGTGAATTCCTCATCCATGGTTCCGGCACTGATGTAAGTGATATGCGCAGTATTCCAAAGAAATTATACACAATTAGATGTAGTCCTGTGGGGATACCATATCAGGGAACCAACCATGCCATGATGTAGTAGGATACCACCATAAGGTACAACTACACAGACAAGGCTTGGCAATCAGTCCTTCAAAGCATTCTGAGGTGGCTCAGTCCATCTGCTGCACCTTTACCCATCAACTTTAAAAGAAAGCTCAAGGCATTGCCCTGTAAACAGAAATGTCCTTCCAACTTCCAAAATGCCACCCTCTGAAGAAATGTTCACATCCTTCACTTTCTGCAACTCTGTACATGTTAATGCTGAATGAGTGTTTCAAATGCGGAATATGGTGGCACGGTAGTACTTGAGTTCCTCGATGCTTTCCTTGATGTCATCCAGTGCTCTGAAACAAACCAATTTATATACTAGAATATTGTTTCAAACATTATTAAGTGAAAATGAAATACCATAATCAAGAAAGTTAAATATAATTTCGGGTAATTTTCTGACGTCATATTGGAATGGGGAACAATGTGCCAGTTATTTACTTATAACAGCTGTCATATAACAAGTGTAAGTTATTCAGTCATACAACAGCTGTCGGCTATTCAGTCATACAACTGTGGCCATGGAGATCACGGGAAGCCAGAGATGATGACAAACCTGTGGGAAACCTTCTTTATGGGCGCTGCTTCATATTTCTCAGGACACCATCTCCTGCAAACAGATTTTCCTTCACATTATGCCAGTTGTGAAATACCACTGTCAGCTCTACAACCACACAACATCAACACAACTGGAACATGCTAGCCTAGCAGTAGCAGGATGGAGTGCTCAGTTGACATGTCATCGATGGCCATCTGATTCAACCAGTCCACAACAGGAGTAGATTTGTGTCTAGAGAGTGTTACTCTTGGTATAACAATACTCCAGCCATAGCAGGATGGGGAGCACCACATGTGGAGTCAAACCTGGTGCTTCAGTGTGACAACCCCATTCCAACATTTCGACACCAACTGCACTGCTTGATCGATTGCAAACTGGGAGGTGACACTTTTTGTCCATCTTGGCAGCCATTTTGGCCAGGGGATCCACATTTTGGATGCCTCATAATAATACTCAAAACAGCAGACGCTGGGTAATATCATCACAAGTAACGTATGGATGACAGCTTCTTTGTGATGCTTCAGGGAAGATGTTGCCTTGACAACGGTGATAGCATCAGCCCTGTAATCGAGCAGCCATCATCCACACAAATTGCTTGATTTTCACTAGGCAATGCCCAAATGTAGAATTTTGTAAAACATTTTTTCAGTCAATCATGTGGAACTAACAGAGACTGAGTGAGTTCGATTTAACACTGCCTGACCACTATTTCTGGAACATCACATGGATATGGGAGTAAACCCCCATTAACATCAATGTTTGAAGTGTATAGCTACCTGCAGAGTTCCTTCACAGTGCTCACGTCCATGATGCGGTAGTGCAGGTGGTTCACGAGCTGTGGCATGTACTTTTTCAGAAACATCTTGTCTGCATGTACAGAGTTGCCTCCCAGAGGACACACCCCAGGCTGAGTGTGCATTTTGGCAAACTGCAGAACTTCCTGTTCAGCTTTGGGTAAAGTGATCTTACTGTTCTTCACGGCTTCTGTCAAACCAGACTGAAACAGAGCCTCATATAGCTAGAGTCTTGAGTGAAGCAGTTGATGGAATGAGCTGAGAATGAAATATCCCTGACAAGGTGCCACAGCGGACCACAGAATAGGACACATTATATCCACTCGGGGAATCAAACCTAGGCTCAAGTTAATGCTTTTACCGCTTGCCTACTAAGTTCCTGGGTTAGATCAATGCTAGTTTTTGTTCTAGTTCTGCTACCTAAAAAAGACTTTGTTCAATATAGCCATTGCAATATATTCAGCACAATTTAGGTCAGATTTAGTATAATTATTTTAAAAAATAAAGTTATAACATGATTTCACTTAGGTCCTAACCACTGGTATCACACCTCAAGGCGAGTGTGCACAAATTTGTTTTACGATCTAATATATTTGTGTTTCACATAGCAGTCGGAACATAATACCTTCCCATGATGCTCTGTGCACCAATTGTCCATGGCGTCCAGTGCAGAGTCCGGTTGATTGATGACCAGGTTCGGACCCTGAGCAACAACACAAGCAATTACAGCCTTATCCTATATGTTACTTTGAATAAACACAGCAACACAATTACCGTATCTTATGAGAAACTATTTTCACCGAGAGTTGTTTCCTATAGCGTCTTAAATCTTGTACTAATTCTTCAATGATACAGAACTCAAGGAACGATTACTACAATAGGAGTATACTATGAATGTCATGATATCCAGTAGTTCGAAAGGTGAATGAAGAATATTAAAAATAAAATACTGCTGCTAAAGAATTTCACAAGATGTATGTACATGTGTCATGTAGGTGTCATGTACATGCGTCCTTCACATGTTTGCATGTCTTTAGAATTTTACCTCATGTGTCAGTATTTGGTTCTCACCTCAGCAACAATGTTGAGCTGTCCATCCGTGACAAGACAAGCTATCTCCAGGATCTGATCTGTTTCTATATTCAGCCCTGTCATCTGAAAACATAGTCCCTTTATGATATGTGCTTCACACAGTTAGTGGACTGACTGACTGACTGACTGACTGACTGAGTTTGGTTTTACGCCGCTTTTAGCAATATTCCAGCAATATCACGGCGGGGGACACCAGAAATGGGCTTCACTCATTGTACCCATGTGGGGATTCGAACCCGGGTCTTCGGCGTGACGAGCCAACGCTTTAACCACTGGACTACCCCACAGCCCCCCAGTCAGTGGATCACTTGTTACCACAATGTATACTCTCACCCAGGGAATGTTGACAAAAGGTTTAAATTGAGTTGCATTGCTGACGCATGTAGACGTAAGCCAGAATTTACAGACATATTTTTCACCTATATGATAAAGGACAAAGAAACATTGCCTTTGGAGATGTGACTGGTCGATCAGTCATGAAGTCACATTCTGAAATGAATTTGTAAACTGCTAAACTCTGACTGGTCAATCAGAGGTAATCAGATCACTAAAAGTACAGATATCTGATAAAATTGGCTTTGACAGCTAATAGTACTAGCAAACAAGGATAAGTTGAGCACCGACCTGACAATTGACCCGTATTAGAATGTATGAGTGCCGCCCACTGGCGCTTGCCATTGTTATCGAAGGGGCCCCAGGTTGTCCGTCTCAGTGAAGACAGAGATAAACCGATGGCATTGCTAGCTTTTAACAGTGTCTGTTTCGTGGATGTACATTCTTCTCCATGTACTTAATAACATTGTATGCCACTTCTTGGGTCTGAGAATGGATTATCTGACCGTGCTTACCTAACTTTGACATGTTTAATTCTCTCGAAATATATATATATCTATATCTGAATATTACCGACTTGCTATACTGACCATGTGAGAGTCCTATGAGCAAGGTTTGTGCAGCTACGCACGGAATCAATTTCATCGTCATGCAATGCACATGCACTAGCTTACATCTGCTCTACCTTTCACAAACCAAATGGGTTTGCTCATTGCCTTGCACCGCCTACTTCTCGTTAACGCGTTCTCTGCGCCGGTCCAACTTATCCTTGTTTGCCAGTAGTATATTCTCAGACATTATCGGGAGGCAATTTGCATTCAGTATCAAGTATGAAGCAGGGCCTCTCAAACATTTCTTGTCAACTATATAAAGACTGGAATAACATCAAATTCATGCATCAATATTTGTAGAAATATAAAACTATCTGGTTATGTTTTTTACAGGGGCACTGATCTTGCACACTTTGCTAGAAGAGGTTGCTGTTTCTCCCCAAGGATACCCAGAAGATATCTCAGAAGAGAACAAGTCTATATGGATGACAACTTCTTTTTTTCTTGAGCATGATGTTTCGATACAGGTTCTTGTATTGTTTTCAAGTATGAATGGTACAGATAGAGAACATGTGATATATATACAAGAAGACTAATTAACAAGGCAAAGCGGAATAACAATGTGATGATAACAAATAAAGGGATAACAGAAGATTACAGGGATAAACATGGGAGGCCAGTGGAATCCAGTGATACACAGAGCATAGAATGTATACACGATTAACAATGTGATGACAGCAAATAAAGGGTAGGAGAGGATTATGGGGATATACATAGAAGCCAGTAATGTTTGTACAGGAGGCTAGGGTTGATACGATGAGCTCAAGAATAAAAGAAGTTGTCATCCATATATACTTGTTCTATCTGACTTCCAACATCTAAACCCGTGAAGGTCTTGGTTAGAATATTGATCTTCAGTAACCCATGCTTGTCGTAAGAGGTGACTTATGTGATCGGATGGTCAGGCTCCCTGACTTGGTTGACACATGTCATCGGTTCCCAATTGGGCAGATCGATGCTCACGCTGTTGATCACTGGATTGTCTGGTCAAGACTCGATTATTTACAGACCGCCGCTATATAGCTTGGATATTGCAGAGTGCGGCGTAAAACTAAACTCACCCACTCCAACTTCTAAAATGTCACTCAAAGAAGATATCTCAGAAATCTGGTTCCCAGCCTATCCTGCACCAATCACAAGCACTCTTGCAAGTATAAGAGTATATTCTCACATTAATCGATAAAGATGAAACACGTCTTCGAATTAATATGGAAATGTAAGCATCTTTGTTTGTTGCATTGGTGATGGTGATGGTGATGGTGATGGTGACGAAGTTTCCAGAAGTCGAATGGTATTCTCTGATTATAGTTTGCACTGTTTTCACTTGTCACACCAACTAATGATTTCCCCTGAACAATGCTTATCAATCAAATCATGTGTCTACATTACACAATAAATTTTCATGTAAGCAATTAATAAAATGCTTTAATATTTCAGTTATTTCACAATTGGCTGAAAATCTATCCATCTAGTTTTATTTATTAAGATAACAATTTTAAATATTCTGAAGAATACTTTTCTACCAGTAGCTGTTAGGATTGTAACAAAACCAGAAGTCTGTGTACATTTATTTTGCAGCTGACAAGGAAACGTCTTCAATGGCAGCTGTCTTTGCGTCAATCTAACTTTGGAAAATATATACTAGTACATCGTTTCACTATGTCAAATCAGTGGGAAACTTTGTCAGGTATGTTAGAACTATATACTTGTACCAAATCTTTTAACTAAGCATCAAGTAAATGACAACAAATAATCAGGTGTTGGATTACACCACCAAACATGGACGGCAACACGAGACAAGAAGATTGTTGGTTGTATTGTAAGCAGTTTAGCTGCCTGAAATATATGGGTTGTTGGCTGTTTTGAGAATATGAAATGAACTTCATTGTTGCAAAAAAGCACATATATTAGCTGCATTCTAATGTAAATTAATGTACATATAGATTTACTTAAATGGTTCGTTTAATACAGCAAAGGCAAAAGTGGGCTATAGTGTCAAATCTTTCAAATGTGTATGTTAAACAGGCCTACCGTTAGAATACAGCACCACAAACTTTAAAAATATGTCATAATACCCTTTTATATAATTTTATGTGACTTTGTTCCAAACCAACTTCTGGAAACAATATAAATATTATAGGTCACAGGACATTATTACATTAATCAATGTCTAACTCAGCTGCGACTGATGTTTGTCAAGACTTTAATTGAATGGGGTATTTCATTATAAAAGAGCATCATCCAATCAGCATTAACCGACTGGCTTTTTGACTGCTTGTTTAGGGTTAAGAAATTAAATCCAATAACACCCTTGGATTTATCGAAATCTTCAAAGATTTGAGGTAACCAATTATAATGTTTTGAAATCAGTATGACCAATGGACTCAAAACTTCTTGTAACTGTCTTTACAGACGGAAGCCCAGTCTCATGTCAAGATCAGTGTGCCAGCAAATCGTCTCAGTCCCAAGTGAAAGTGCTAAAGAATTGGGTTGAAACAGGGCCCGAAACATGAGGTGTCCCGTTAAATAATGTCGACACGAATGGTTAGCTTCTCTCGTTAGAAATAACATGAATAAGACCATTTGCCAGAGAGGTTAAGCCCAGATTCATCTCTCAACGAAGTATGGTGCGCTTCACATATTTTTTTAAGTGTACTTTCGTTTTGATGTCATCTACCTTATCGCATAATATTGTCATAAACACACCTCCAGATCAATCCAAACTATTCTATTTTTCTCCGCATCCTGTATGGCCGACATGGACTTATTCCCTTGGCTCATCTGCCTCACGAAAACCCCGAACAGGTTAGCGCTTCGCCTGACAATATTCGACAACATGATTGTACCCAAGCTCCTCACAGCGATAACCCGTTACAGCTCCTAACTGGTACAGGGAGGGAGTAGTAACGAGACTGGTTTGTTTGCCGTAGGGCGCTTGCGCTCTCTGTCGCAACGAGCTCACTAATTTTAGACGATCGTGGCTCTCCCACGTTCTGACATGGCCCTAATGTAATTTAAAGGTGAGGTGAAATTGGGTTTAACGTCGTGCTTGAGAATATTTCACTCATATGACGACGTGCATGCGTGTGTATGTCAGGGTAGAGATTGCGATCTGGTAGAATTGGAGATTCTACCAGTAGAGATTGCGATTGGAGTCTCTACTGGTACAGTACAGTACAGTTTCCAATTCAAATGGAAGACACTTTATTTGCTCAACAATATTATGCATTTTATTCAGATGTAACACTAGACTGTTTCCAGTGAAACTGTGTTTATTTCAGTAAAGGGGCCACCGACCCATTATACAGATACATAGAACATGATGTATAAGAGATGAGATAAAATAAGGTAAAATACCACATTGCATCAATTCATTTGAGAAATTGTGAATATTTCTTAAAAGCTAGAAATACATATTTAGCTAGATTATTAAGAAGAGAAGCATTATAAGATGTCAACAATAGTACACATTTATGGAGAGATGGAGAAGTGTAATAATACTTAGGGAGCAGGGCCTGACGAAGATTATTATAAAAATTACATTCTAAGCAGAAGTGATGTTCAGACTCAATAATGGGTACAATACAAAAGGGGCATAATCTTTCGCTCCGTGCTAGGCCGACCTTTCCTCCTTCCTCAATTAGGGTGAAAACTGACAGCCCTGTCAAATGCCATACATACACTCAAAGAAATCAGTAAAGTCTTCATTTAGTGAAACACAAGACTTTACATTAAAATATATGTTTTTAATCGATCGAAAAACTCTACCCTTAATAATGAAGTGCTAAATATTTAGAGATTTATAGTGTCCAACACAAAAACATTGTCAGTACTTTGGAAGCCTTTCCTTAAACCCGGATTGGACCTTAATATTAAAGAATGAAATATATTTTACACAACTTCTTGTTCATTCACTTTTTTTGTTCATTCATTCTTATATTTGAGTGAAATAACAACAACAAAAAACAGGAAGGTGGGGAAATGACCGGCCAGATATATATTTGGGTGGGGTATTGTCCGGGTGGGGAAATGGTAGGTGAGGAATTGACCAGGTGGGGAAATGACTGGATTCCTGGGGGGACACCATGAACAATTACACCAGTCAGTTACTGGTCAGAGAGGTGAGATCAGAGACATGTTAAGAAGGTGACATGGATCTGACAAAACTCACTATTGTGACATATTGTTTTATGTTTATATTCGATATCTTCCATTGAAAAGTGCACACATCAGTGATTATTGATAACAAACAATGTCACATTTATGACTGACCTAAATGTTGCTAATGTCATTTATTGATGGACATAGCTGACATTAGAACTCACAAAAAAGTGTGAGATTTTCTAAAATAAACATTGATTTTTTTTTTCATTTTAGAGTTAACATTTATTTACAATAACAATCATAAATGAAAACAAAGTAACAATGTTTTATTTTCATTTTGTTTGTAAACATTAAGTTGGACAAACAGCGTGCACTTTTCAATGGAAGATGTCATTTTACAATATATGAAAGCAAATTTTGTTTTTCTAAATATTCACTTAGATTGCAATCTCTACTAGTAGGATCAGATTTGAGCTTCTACTGGTAGAGATTGTGATTGTATAGGTTATTCAATATTACTCCGATTGCAGTCTCTACCAGTAGGATCGGAGATTCTACCAGTAGAGACTCCGATCGCAATCTCTACTGGTAGAATCTTCGATTCTTCGATTCTACGAGATCGCAGTCTCAACCCTGACAATGTATGTGTGGCTGCTTGTACTAGCCCAGACTGAAGCTGGTTTTATAGTGCTAGCCCACTGAGATACCATGCCGCAGTGAAGCATAAATACCCCACTCAGACACATTATACTGACTCCGAGCGCCAGGAAGGGACCAACAAGTACCATATTTTAACGTCTTTTGGTATGACGCGGTCGGGGATCGAACCGGCGACCTTCCTCTCTCCGGGCGGACGCTCTAACCACTACACCACGGAGGCGGGGGTAATTTAAAGGGAAACAGCATCCAACTCTCAGCCTCAGACCATTGATATCCCTTTGAATTCTCATACATGTATTTGATCCTATTGTGCTTACCAAAACCTTCCTCCTCTTGCAAATCCGTATATGTGTGCAATGTACAATTATGTTCTCCAGTATACATCAATATTACGTGAAACAGGTAATATTTTTTGCAACAATGAAGTTCAGTTAACGTACTGTTATGAGGCAGTGCTGTTGAGCAACAATGTTTCACCTGTTCAGGTACATTGTACCTGTAAGGTCAGTGGGGTCAGTGGTGTGCTATATTTAGACTTTCTAGATTTACTGTGACATACAGAAAGTATATTCCAGAATCATCTGTCATAGTTTGGACATGTGAAGCTTCTTTTTCTATGGTGTGTAAGGGGGTCCAGGTATATATGGTCTCTCATCACGCATTATCCAAATTATCATGAACTGCTCAGACAGCCAAGCACCTACATTATTAGGAAATGTACACGGCAAATAAAGTAGCTATATTAGACGTAGTCCAATAAGCTGGCAGTCAGTTTCCGTTGCAATATACTGAGTAGTAGTACAGTAGGTGAAACGGGACCGTTGACACGTTGCTGGAGGGGTGGTGTCCGCCCGGGAAAGCCACATTTGAAAAATACCAACTGCCGCTAAAGCCACATTTCAAGTACAAACCTCGGTGCCGCGAATCGCCGCGAAAGTCACATTGAGTATGGGAATTAATACCGTTTTTTTCAAATGAGCGTCACCCATTGATCACAATGGATTAAAATTGTTTAAGTGACTTGTCCTTTGTTTGTGTAGTTAAATATGATGGGCGGCTTGTTTTATTTCGTTGAAGACTTTAGTTAACATATGATAACATATGTTCTGAGATAAAATGATACATGCAAATGGGTCATTCTATGGAAAAGGGCAATTTCAGCTTTTGCTCTTAAGAAAATTTTATTTGTATTTTTTTATTTCTTCACGTAAACTACTTTGGTTTGTATGATTGGTATGTCGCATCAGCAGAGAAGTTTGGACAAGCTTAAAAACAGCTAAGAAATGAAAAGAGTAAGGCGTCACATATGTAGCTGTTTATAAGTATACTAGGCACATAAAGAAACTGTGCATACAAAAATTTAAAATCTAAATTTATCAAACCTGTGTAGACACATAAGGATTTAAACTCAGAGATTAGTGACATGTATCCAACATGCATGCACGTGCCACGTTCCGTGACGTTAGTGGGTTCGTCCTTGAGACGTGCAATACGTTGTTGCACGTGCATTCCGGGAAAGAGAAACAGAGCAAATGAATGCCACACAATACTGTCACTTTGGAAAGCTCAAACCCTGCCCTTGCGATCGTTCAAAAATTAAACGGCTATTGAAACGCATAGCATGCCAAGGCTCACGTCTGCACAACGTCATGAGGCCATTGGGATGGTCCGTGGGGGAATGTCTCAAGGACAAGTGGCTGCACATTTCCACTGCCACCGGAACACCATTTCTGCACTGGTGAGACGCCACCAGAACACAAATGACGTCATCGATCGGCCACGTTCTGGACGTCCACGTGTAACAACGCCAAGACAGGACAGATGGATAAGGGTGACCCATCTTCGCCACAGGTTTCAGACTGCAGTGATGACTGCCCGAACCATCCCAGGACTTCGCCGTATCCACCCCAACACAGTTCGACAACGTTTACGTCATCACGGGATCAGACCACGACGTCCCGCCATACGGCCTATCCTGACACAACGTCATCGACAAGCTCGCCGAATGTGGTGCCGAAATCATGTCCGCAGACCCTTGTTTTGGTGGAGAAATGTTGTTTTACAGATGAGTCCAGGTTTAACATGTTACATAGTGATGGACGTCAACGTGCCTATAGACGCGTGGGAGAACGTCATGCACAGGCCTGTGTCTTGGGGAGGAATCGCTTTGGTGGTGGGTCCGTGATGATTTGGGGTGGAATAACAGCACGCCAAAGAACTCCTTTGGTGATTGTTCAGGGCAACTTAACTGGTGTGGGCTACAGGGATCAGATTCTTCGACCTGTGGCAATTCCTTTTCTGCAACATCATGATCCAGGGTTAACATTCCTACAGGACAATGCCCGCCCTCATACGGCAAGGGTTGCTATGGATTTCTTGCAACACCACAACGTTGACTTACTGCCTTGGCCTGCAAATTCCCAGATCTCTCCCCGATAGAGCATGTTTGGGACGAGATGGATCGACGGCTACGCCGTCTTCCCCTCATCCGCCAGATAACGACCTTGACCTTGCAACAGAACTTGAGAGAATCTGGCGTGACATCCCACAAGCCTTCCTTGCACGTTTGATTGGTTCTATGCGTCGTCGATGCCCTGCTGTTCTCCTAATCACATCGTTCCACAACATCACAACACAACACAGTTTACTGGAATACGCTTGTGACTGGTGCGACCGTTTTATTTACAAACCTCAACACAACACAACTTGACTCAACTTGGTATCTATTATACCCATCTCTTACAGAAATAAATGATTCTATATTTATGCAGAAATATAATGATATCTTTATTACCTGCTGAAACCCGACACGTAAAACCAGAGATAAAAACTCTTACAGAAAACACTCTGGAACCGTGTTCCCTCTACGAATGTAACAGCACATACTGGAGGGTTTACAGTACATATCAATCTTGTATGTATACAGTCTACAGTGTATTACATAAACAGTCACAACACTGGAATACAAACATCACAACTTGAATTAAATTCAAGATTATTATAGGAAATTATACAAATGCCATATGCACATCATGATAGCTTACCAGCCTAGCAATATTCAATCAACATATTTTACAAGTTCCTTCATACAGGAATATGCAATAATATACAGGCTTACCAGGCCA